CGTCTCTGTGGTGGATGTCAAAACAGAGCTGCTATAGGGGCAGATGGATGAATGGAACATCACTGCTCCCTGGTTACATTTGATGTCACAAATCTCAACTCACTTTATTCCACAGATCTAAGCAAAGCTCTTATTATCACGGAACTGGGCTCCTCAAGGGATCCTGAAATCATAAATGTTGTGATGTCAAATCTCAGAAGGCTTGCAGAGAAACCCATTGCAGTTCACAGGTAAAGATTAATAAAAAGACATCTATACATAAAAGTAAATCACTTTAATTAAGTGCTTGTCTATTTTTTTTTATTTTATCCAGCATCAGACTACAGGGATCAGCTGCCCTTAACATGTGCTCTGTGGCCAGTGGTGAGGCAGAACTGTATTATGAATGTGGTATCCATGTCTGGGATATTGCAGCAGCAGGAATAATTGTGGAAGAAGCTGGTGGAGTCACACTGGATCCTTCAGGTTTTTAAATATGTTATGTGTTTACAACCCGATTTCTTGCATAAATATTTACTATAAAGTATTTTGGTTGCATTGAAGATTCATATCAAGCTTCGACCATTGTTGATTGCCATGACAATTAGATAAATTTTGGCAATTAAATTTGCTATGTAAGTGCTAATTTGGTGACCAGCATTTACCCATCTTGTAGCAAGGTGCAGAATTATAATTATAACTTAATAGTTTTCATGATCTTAACCTTTTAAAATCTTATATTAATATAAAACATTTTCTTGCAACAGGTAAGCCTCTGGATTTGATGGCACGTCGTATATTAGCTGCTGGAAATAAGGAGCTTGCTGATCAAGTTTCTCAGTATTTAGATTGCATCGAGCTTCCTAGAGACTAGCAATTTTTTTTTATTTTAGGACAACTTTGTTCTTGTTCATTTTAATTCACTGTCTTTTGCGTTGTCTCGCTTATTGTTTTTTAATGTGTCTGTAACTAATGTTGTCAAGTCATTTGCTTTTATACTGTCCAGCTATTATTTTCACACAAAGTGTCACAGGTTTTGCTTGATGAAAAAAATCAACTTAATTTCTTCTAGGTTGTTATTTAGTACCTCTTCAGCATACATCAATACTTGTATGATGTTTTTAAATTTTGGTATTTATTACTGAAAAATGTAAATTTTGCCTAAAAAATAAAAAAGCTGAACCTTTTAATTTTATGTACATGCACTACTCACAGACAAGTTATCACTTCAGTCTGTAATTTCCTGGAAGTTACAGAAAGTCTATCTTGTTCTTGGGATTTAAATGATTAATAGAAAAGAGAAAATGGTGTCTTATGAGCAAGAATGTGTCTTTGGGTAAAAATTAAAATGATTAAAATTAAGTGAGCAAGAAAGAAGAAAATTTGGGTATCTTTTTCAAAAATATCTGTGAGCCATTCTTTTAAAGTCAGAAATTCAGTCAGCTTTATTTACTTATATTAATCATATTATTAATTTTTAAGGATATAACATTGGAAGAGTTGTATGCATTTGATGTTCTTAAAATTTATGTGCTTGCATACAGTGACACTGTAACTTAAATCTCTACAATTATAGCAAAATATTTTAAGAAAGTTGATAATACTAAACAAATTGTTTAATATATCAAATTCATTATTTTTTAACTCCTGATTTGTTGCTTTTCATATGTAGTTAATGCAGCCCTTGCTTCTCTGGTTCTTTAGTTACTCCCCCTGCCCCTAACATCCTACTACCTTTGTTACCCCTGCTCCATTTCCCGAGGGCAAAGTTCAACACCAGACCCAAGTGTCTAAAATCAAAGAAGGTGTCCGAAATAAGATGAGAGAGTTGGAAAATTGGATGGAGATGTCTGTTGCACAGGTTAAAGGTTTTTTCTGCAAGATGCCACCTTTTCCCCTAAGACCAAGCATTGCATGAGAACTTCCAATAATGCATGCATGAAGAGAAAAGCTTGGTTTTTATTGGCAATGCAAGCACAAAAGCAATCACCAAGCCAAGCATAACAGCTCTTATTTTACTATGAAGACAGCTTCAACACGCTCATAAACACAAGCAGAAGCACTTTTCCCTTTCCTTGTACTTGCATTAAGGTGAATCAAGAGCTGTTCAGCTTGCATCTGTACTTAAGTCAGTAGTGAAAATCAGTCCTAACCCTTTAACTCCCAAGATCTGATTGTTAATTTTCCCGGCAAGAAAGATTTGGTCTGAGCAATATAGAAAAGTAGCTCACAGAGAAATTTCTTACCTTTTGAGCAAAAAGTTGTGTTTCGTATTTGGTTTTGCTCTTGGAGGTATCATGATAGTAAAAACTTTAAAGTGATGTGCTTTCCTTTAGAGAACCGTTTGAACTTCTGTAACTATGGCTGCAAAACAAACCGCTGTTTTATACGCCCAATCCATCTTCCTGTCCAGCTTTTTTTTTTTTTTGTTAGACGTCAGATCAAAGCTTTTGTGTTTAAATCTGAATGACTGGTCTCATCTTAGTAACAATGGATATGACAGTCAATAAAATACTTAAAGAAATCCAGTAGAATGTTTCTAAAAAGTTGTGTAGCAAGTCTAACTCTTAAAACAAAGCTGCAAATTATGTGGCCAAAACACTTTCAGCGGGACATGTGAGAAGTTTTAGAATTACACAGTGTTGTCCTATTTTCCCTGGAGATAATTAAAGTGTTATTTCTTTCAAATTGAAAATTTAAGAAAATATGAATCTTCAGAACTACACAATGTGTCGCATTTTTCCTCCGGAGTTAACGACAGTGATAAATAGAAGGTTATGATTTTCAATTTAGAACGCATCATGCAAAAAATGCTCTTGACAAAATTACTCGATAAGTTATACAGAACCAACAGTACTGTACAATGATTTTTCCCTCAAGACTTTTCTTCCTCTTCTTTCCGTATGCGCTTCGGTACTCAATTTGGCTGACGTTCCGTCCAGGAAACTTTACATAAGTGTCAAATTATAGTTTCAGCTGCTCGCGTGGTAGATGGAAATAAAGTTTCGTGAGAAGGCCTTAATATCTAAAGCCTTAAATGCGAGAGAATATCTGAAGTGAAATCTACATTTTACGCGACATTGCATCCTCCACACGTCTCGATCAAAGGTAGGGGCAATCTTTGAATCGTACATCATCGATGTGAGAATAAGGTGATTCTGTTTTTCAAATAAGTGTAAAGTTCTTCCCAGTGCTATCGCCTGAGGTAAGATTTCTTGTCGTTCTTATCGTATATTCCATGTAGAATTTTTGTTGTTCTCAGAAAGAGTTTTATTCAATGGGTAGCCCGCCAGTTCGAACGACATTTCAACCTTCCCTGTCCTTAAAGTGTTCTGACTTCCGGTTCTCTGTTACGACTATACTTCCGGTTATTGTACTTTCAATTATTGGATGATACTGCTACCTCACGTCTGACCATACGTTTTATGACTGGCATCTGATAGTTTTTAAACAAACCCAAACACAAGAGCCGGTTCGTAGCCAAACAAACGGCGGTCAGAGGTCTTATATGGGAAGAGACACCGCCGGTAATCGGCTTTCATTGAGTCCGTGCTGACCCTTACGAATGATTAACACTTAATTTCTCCTTACATTGTTACCCCTGAATCAAACACTAATGTCATGAGAAGAAAGGAAATGACCACTGTTGCATAATCAGCAATTCATTTGAGCTATCATTAATCCTATTCATTCCGCCATTCACGTCGTCACGTTTTGTCGCAATATAAATACTTGTTAATAAGCGTATATTGTCCCAGCCGTAATATATGCAGAAATGCTGCCAAATATATAAACTCGTGAGTTTAGTTCTAGATAGGATTATTACTTTGATTAGTATGTGTATGAATAAAAAATTTTTGCAGAACCGAGTAGTTAAAAACCACCAGTCATCAGCTTAGGAAATATATAAAGAGCAGTACGGAGAATATGCATCCTGAAGGTGAATCGTTTGAGCTTGTCACCAACAAATTTCTTGTTGTCACTGAAGCCATGAGTTTCAGAGCGTGGATGGTGGAAACCTACCAGTAGATTCTTCAGTACCTGGGGCGTGTACCTAAAGATATGGAAAAACTCACGTCTAAATTGAAAACCTTACACGAGTTGGACGCCATAGCCGCAGAACGAACCAAAAGAACGGCCTTAGTATCTTAATTTCGTTCCCCATCGTGCTGAAATTGGAAAAAACCGAAAACTTTTACGTCTCATAGATTTTAATCATTTATAAGTAAATAAAGCTGTAAGGAGTCCTCCTTCAGCCTGCAAACCAATGATCACAAGCGATCCAATGGGCCACTTTCAATATATCAAAATTCTAAAATGGCTCCGAGGCTAGGGGGAATAAAACAAAACATATTTCACCTACTCATCCTTACATTTATTTCTACAAACTCACTTTGTAACATAATGACCTGATGAGCCATATCTACAAAATGGACCCTGGGCGTGACAATGTGTTCTCATGATTAAAAGTGCAATATGATTATCAATAACAGTGCAAAGTATTTACTTTAACAAAAGCTAAGGAAATACAAATAAAAGCAATATATGAAGCATTTTAGAATCATCCACATTACGTTACGCATTCCAGTGTACACTAAAACTTCAAATATTTGTTTTTCTGATAGCGTTCTTTAGAGTCAAAACATTGGGTAATTTTTTAGGGTTTCGTAAGCGAAATCAAAGGGAACTAGAACTGAATTAGCGACTGGGTTTATTCTTGATATTGACCTAGAAAAATGAAGGTTGTGTGATCGCTCTGTGTTCCGTCAAGTGAGAATACGAGTCAAAAATTTAAAAAATCAAAACTTGTATAACCAAGATAGGACGCGTGATGGCCATGATGATACAAGCCATTGAGGTTCGAGGATAACTCCTGTGAATACCTCAGACCCAACTAAAACTTTATTGAGACGAGTGTGTTTTTTTTTAAGTTGGTACTGTATCATTGTTGTGCCATAAATATGACGGTTCAGAAATCCACTGGTCTTATTTTCATCTCGGTTCTCATTAAAGAGTAATGATACCCTTTCCAGTCTTTCCAGTTCACTCCATTAGCATAGGAGGAGTGATTGCCACGATGATATAAACCATTGAGATTTGAGTGGTGACACCTGTCGTACCACCAGGCTCCTTGGTACTTAATGGCGCAGTTGTGACTTCTATGATTGTCATTATCTTGATCTTTAGTGGTGAACGGCATACCGCGATGTAGAGCAAGAGAGTCACCAGAATTTCCTGACAAAACGAACCGCACTATGAGTATTACGTTTGACCAACAATGAGCAGTTCGTAATTCAAAAGAAATCTTG